TACAACGTGTGAAGCAACACAAGCCCACCACCTGTCTGTGTATGTGAATCCAAATGGCAATGGAAAATACCAAGCAGCACCTATAAATCTCTCACCAGGCGCTAAAGTATACCAACCAATGACCAAATTGAATACCAAACCATGACACAAACCAAATGAACTCATCAATGCTAAAAGCAACCAACCAAACACCTTCGTGTCCCATACCTCATGCATTGCATTATCATCTCCAGAATGAGTGTGTAAGCACACTAATACCACTGAATAATGATAGTACAATACACAATGTATAGATAAATATAACTGGAGAATCAACCACTTTACCCAATCCCGATCCTGTTTAGACAATCTCGTGGCTGTTAAATCAGTCCCGTGCCCCTTGCATGTCATGTGTGAGCCCACTAATACCACCGAGTAAAATACACAGCGTATATGTGAGCATAGCTGAAGCAAGAACCACTTCTCCCCATCCCGTACCTGTTTGATCAATCCCGTGCCTGTTGAAGCTAGTCTGTGCCAGTCAATCCCGTACCTGTTGATGCAATCATGTGCCTGTTGAGTCATTCTCGAGACTAAGACAATCCCGTGCCTGTTGAGGCAAATCCATGCATCATGCATTGCATCATCATCTCCAACATGAGTGTGTGAGCCCACTAATACCACCGAGTAAAATACACAGCGTATATGTGAGCATAGCTGAAGCAAGAACCACTTCTCCCCGTCCCGTACCTGTTTGATCAATCCCGTGCCTGTTGAAGCTAGTCTGTGCCAGTCAATCCCGTACCTGTTGATGTAATCATGTGCCTGTTGAGTCATTCTCGAGACTAATAGGCACGGTACAAATAGGCTCGGTGTCGTGAGTATTTTGTAGCCATTCCTTCCTTGTTTGGTCGGTTTTTTTTTTTTAATCAATCCACTAGGCAGGGCCTAGGGCTAGTTTTATATATAGAAAATCAAAAAACGAAATACATTGTCTGGGGGCCTATAAAAATGAAAATGATAGAAAATGAAAGCTACATAGAACCTATTACCAATGTTGAGCATGTTACTCAAATTTGGTATCACATGATGAGTACTACTCCTATACTCTAAGATATGCATATGAAAATTAGAAAATGCTGCTGTTCTTGCTATTCTGATGTATTCCTCTTCTTCCTGTTGCTTGTCTTTTGATGATTCCTCATGCCTGTTCCTTCTTGTCATATACTCCACATAGCTACTGCTGCAAATACATTGAAATCTGCCCGTGCCCAGCTGTGCCTGTGTCTCTTTTTTGATCCTATTCTTTCCTGTCATCTTAGTTTTTGCTGCTGATTTCCACCTCTTGATGTGAAGTTGTTGTCCTCCTTCGTATTGTATTACTGAATATCCATCCCCAGCTAGTGAAATTTTGCCCACAAATTGAGCCCAACGCTTGCCTGTGGATTGTATTTTCTAGATTACCAACCATATCTCCAAGGTTCCCGTGCCTGTTGAGCCCATCCCGTACCTGATTCGTGAAAATAGGCTCGTTATGTGAAGGTTCGATCCTGTGGCTACTAACCATATCTCCAAGGTTCCCGTGCCTGTTGAGCCCATCCCGTACCTGATTCGTGAAAATAGGCTCGTTATGTGAAGGTTCGATCCTGTGGCTACTAACCATATCTCCAAGCTTCCCGTCCCTGTTGAGACCATCCCGTGCCTGATTCATGAAAACAGGCACGGTACGTGATGGTTCGATCCCGTGACTACTAACCTTATCTCCTGCCTGTGGATTGTATTTTCCAGATTACCAACCATATCTCCAAGGTTCCCGTTCCTGTTGAGCCCATCCCGTACCTGATTCGTGAAAATAGGCTCGGTATGTGAAGGTTCGATCCTGTGGCTACTAACCATATCTCCAAGCTTCCCGTCCCTGTTGAGACCATCCCGTGCCTGATTCGTGAAAACAGGCACGGTACGTGATGGTTCGATCCCGTGACTATTGCCCTCAGATCTCATGCTTGTGCATGCCCCTTTTCCTTCTTCAAGGGAATGAGCACATAGTGCTAATACCACCCTTTGAAGTCGTATTGGGGGGCAAGACATGACTCCAAGGTTCCCGAGCCTGTTGAGCCCATCCCGTACCTGATTCGTGAAAATAGGCTCGGTATGTGAAGGTTCGATCCTGTGGCTACTAACCATATCTCCAAGCTTCCCGTCCCTGTTGAGACCATCCCGTGCCTGATTCGTGAAAACAGGCACGGTACGTGATGGTTCGATCCCGTGACTATTGCCCTCAGATCTCATGCTTGTGCATGCCCCTTTTCCTTCTTCAAGGGAATGAGCACATAGTGCTAATACCACCCTTTGAAGTCATATTGGGGGGCAAGACATGAGTACAATAACTGTTCCTGCAAAAAAAAAAAAGGTTAGTGAAAAATATAGTCCATAGCACCTCCTCCTGATGGCTTCGATGGTATTGACTATAGCTACAGCCCATCTCCTTCACTAAAACCCCTGTCTCATACATTGATTCCACACCTCCTCTCCTCTGATTTCCTATCCTAACTCTTTTTAACTTGCTCATGAATCCCCATTTTGTTTTCTTTATCCAACCTTTCTCCATGCTTCCAAAAATAATGCAGCCACTATCCTCTTGTTGCTCCATGATTCTGCATTTTTCTTCCTTTTCCTGGTCCTGCTCATGGCTTCTTGTTATTGTCTCTTGCGACCCTTGTACACCAAACCTGCCTGGCTCCCTGTATCCTTTAACCTCACCCTCATCTGACTCACTCCAATTTGTAATGGCATACCCCTTGACTGATTGTCTTGCTATTGTGTTTGCCTGACTTCCTGTATGCATCTCCTGCTGCTGAACTTCCTTTCCTATAGATTCCCAAAGTTTCATCCACTTGGTCTCCTCAAGTGTCCTCTTTGGATGCCTATAGATTCTGAATGTTTGCTTAGTCTTGACTTCTTGTCTTCTCCAGTGTTGTGTGGATTTCATCATTAGCAGGTCCCAAGATTCGACTGAAACTGATATCTTTGTCGACTGGAGTGAGGTTAGCCCACTTCTCTTATACATTCTGGGCAGTCTTCTGTTTTTAGGCTCAGCTGGTCCAATTGTCTTACATATTCTGTGATCTTGTGCATCCTGTAAGCTGTGAGCCTTCCCATCTATGCTGCATCTGCCCCCATTTGTAATCTTCAGCCTCTTCCTCAATACCTCCATGAGTGCTGCCTCCAATGTCTTTCCTATGGGTTGAGTGCAATGCACTAATACCACCATATGGATTTCAATTGGTATGCAGACCATAGAGGTGTTCCCTGCAAAAAAGATAAACAAGTTAGTAAAAATCATCCCCATCCTCTCATCCCTAAGGGCTGGAGTATGGTTCTTTTGTGCTCCTGTCTTCTCCATCTCCTTAGTTGCTCCTTCCTTCCCTTTTTCTATCTTCTTGACACTGATACTCTTATGTAGGGACATTGCATCTTGTCTGAATTCACTAGTTTCCTCCCTTGTATATCTAGTTCCTCAAAGCTATTACACTCTATTTGCCCGACATCTAGTGCATAATTAGCTAAGTGATCAGCTAATTTATTGCCTTCCCTTAGAGTGTGAGATACCCTAACATTTGCTCTGCTCATTAGGTTTGTTATTACTTCTACCTCTGTAGCAATACACCATGGGGGTTTCCATTCTCCTACTATTGCCTTTTTCAGAAGTAACGAGTCTGTGTGTAGCTCAATTAAAACATGGCCCTGCTGCAGACAAAATTTCAATGCCTCACTGATGGCTTTTGCTTCTGCAGTAGTGTTAGTTCCCTCTTGAATTTCCTTTCCACATGCATATACCACATCTCCATCCTCATTTCTCAATACAAAGCCAATTGCACTTCTACCAGGATTGCCCCTCGAAGCACCATCTGTGTTTACCTTGATCCATCCACTAGCTGGACACTCCCATAGGACCCTTGTGTATTTTAGCTTTGGAGTGTATTGTTCCAACATCTTAATCATCTCTGGCCATCTGTGTGGAACCTGTCGAATCCCTGGCTTTCTTAGCTTTATGAGGGATTGTAGTGTATTAGAGATTTGATACACAACCCTATTGATGGTGACTACATCTTCATGGTTATAACTGTTTCTCCTTTTCCATAGTTCCCATATAATCACTGAAGGTAATGCTTGCATTATGGGCTTTAATCTGGGCAGTACATTTGCTGTCCAACACCTGACTATAGCTTGGTGAAATGTGATGCCAGTGATGGAGATTCCTGCGTGTCCCAAGTAGTACTTCCACACCTTGTTTGCTGCATATGCAGTGAAGAATAAATGTGCCATGGTTTCCTCACATGGTTGTGCACAACACCAGCACCTAGAAGCCATTTGGTATCCTAATCTTTTGAAGAAATCATCGAGAGGCAGCTTGTTCCTCCAAACTTTCCACATGAAAAAGGCAATCTTAAATGGCAGCCCTTTCACCCATATCCTAGTATATGCTGTCCTTGGTTCTGCCCTTCTCCTCACATACTCCCAAGCTATTTTTACACTGAAGAATCCTCTAGCTTCCAGCATCCAACATGGCTCATCTAAGCTATTTGCCACAGGAGGCTGTATGTTCTGAATTATATGCTCTGCAAACTCTTCAGGGAGTAATTCATACAGCTTGTCAGCATCCCATTCTCCATATTCTATCACCTCCCATACATTATGGACTGATTCATCAATCACAAAAGCTTGTGGAACTAGAAAATACAAAGCCCCCAGCCCTGTCCAATTATCGTACCAAAACAATGATGATCCCATTTTTGGACTCCACAATATTTGATGCTCAGTTAGTTCCCTACATTCCAACATCTTTCTCCATACATGAGAACCATCCCTCCATGGCACCACTACTGAGTTTTGTTTTTTGCAATATTTCTGGCTCATGAATGAGCTCCATAAACTGGGCTTGGTTCTGTAGTTCCACCAAAGCTTACAAAACAAAGCTTTTGACACATCAAATAGTGACCTAAACCCAATACCTCCTTCCTCCTTAGGCATACATAAAGATGACCACGATGCCCAGTGCCTGCTGCTTCCTGTGACTGAGCTACTCCAAAAAAACTGGGCAAAAATCTTGTGCAGTCTAGTGATCACATAGTTTGGTGGATTGACAGCTGAAAGCAAATGCATTGGCATACTTTGAAGCACATGTGAGATGAGTACAGCCCTTCCACCTATGGTCAATAATTTACCCTTCCACGATTGTAGTTTGTCCAGAATTTTTGTAATCATGGGCTGATAATACTCCATTTTTCTCCTTGAGTAAAATATAGGGCATCCCAGGTAGATGATTGGAAAATCTTGCCTCTTCATCCCTGTGATCCTTTCGACTTTGTCTGCTACTTCTGAGCTCACCAGGTTGTGTATGTACACAGCTGATTTTGATTTATTTACCAGCTGCCCTGAAGCTGATTCATACGCTGCTAGTACCTCCATGATCAGTCTGAGTGAAGTTTCATCTGATGAAGAAAAAATGATCGTATCATCTGCGTACGCAAGATGATTAATCTTTGGGCTCCATTTTGGCAAACCATACCCACAGAAATATAGGTTCGAATGTAGAGCATTAAGACTTCTTGAGAGTGCTTCTGCTGCCAATATAAACAGTGTAGGAGACAAAGGGTCCCCTTGCTTTACTCCCCTCGACGATTTAAAAAAACCATGGGCTTGTCCATTAATTAACACCGAGTACCAGTTGTTAGAAACTATGCCATATACCATACCTATAAATCTCTCTGAGAATCCCATTTTTCTCAACACCTTGGTCAGGAATAGCCACGAAAGTCTGTCGTATGCCTTAGTCATATCAAGCTTCAATATAACATTAGGTCCCGCCTTAGTTCTAAGTCTCATATCAGTCACTATCTCTTGAGTTAGTAGGATGTTTTCCACTATACTCCTCCCTTTGACAAACCCTGACTGCTCTTCTGAAATTAAGTTAGGTAGCAGGTCCACCAGCCTCTCATGTATAACTCTAGAGATCACCTTGTTTGAGAAGTTACTAAGGCTTATGGGCCTGAGATCAGAAAACGTGCACACCTCTTTCTTCTTTGGCAGTAGTACCAGATTTGTATGAGTCACACACTTGGGCAAGTCATGTCCATTAAAGAATGCTCGAACCATGTCAAACACATCACCTCCTATGATTTCCCAGCATGACTGATAAAATTTGCCCGTATATCCATCAGGACTTCCTGCACTGTCCCCATTCAATCCAAACACAGCTGCCTTTACCTCCTCGATTGTAGGTTGCTTTATTAGTTCTTCATTTTGATCCATATCCAGTAATACAGGCACATTATCAATGATTTGAAAGGATGTAGAAGCTGCACTCTCCCTAAATTGATCTGTAAAGAACTGTATTGCCTCTGCTGCAATTTCTTCATCCTCTTCAATCCACACTCCTTGCTTGTTCTGTATTCTATTTAGCTGGAGTTTTTTCCTCCTACACCGCACTTGAGCGTGAAAGAATTTAGTATTCCTATCTCCATCCTTGAACCAAGACATCTCTGCCTTTTGTTTCCAATATTTTTCTTCCAAAGCAAGTACCTTAATGAGTTCTGCATTCACCTTTTGCAGTCTATGCATGTTTAACTTTGTGGGATTTGCTTCAAATTCAGCTTCATGAACTAGTACAACTTCCTCCAGGCTGGCTATCTTTTGAAAGATGTCCCCAAAAGTCTGCTTACTCCACACAGATAGGGCCTTTTTCAGTTTCTTCAGCTTGTGGTTAAAGATGGTGTAGGGATTGGCACTAAAGTCAGCTGTCCAATGCTCCTTTACTATTTCTTTGAAGGAGGCATGTTCCACCCAGAAATTGAGAAATCTAAAAGGCTTTATAACTGGTGGAGCTTCAATGTCACACTTAATTTGCATAGGGCTATGGTCTGAACCAATTTTAGGCAGGTGCTGCACTTCTATCCCTGGGAAGGTATCCTGGAATTCTGAGTTGGCCACACATCTGTCAATCCTTTCAAAAATGCAGTCCTCTTCTGCCCTTCCATTCCACCATGTATAAATGCTCCCCTTGAAGCCCAGATCCACCAAGTTGCAAGTATTTATGCAATGCCTGAAGTCATCTATCTCATTTATATGAACAGGAAGACCTCCAAACTTTTCCTCTTCATCCAAAATGACATTGAAATCACCTCCTACTAACCAAGGCACATCCATATCAGCTGCCATGGAGTATAAGGAGTCCCATAGTTCTATTCTCTCTATGGCATCACATTTGGCATAAACCAATGTAAGAACAAACTCCACATGAGTCTCAGAGTGATGCAGCCTTAGGGTCAGTTGCTGCACCATGTTATACATCACAGTTACATCAAATACTTCATCAAGAAACACCCAGATCTTATTTGAGACATTGGCCATGGCCTGTGCAAATCCTATTCTGCTTCTGTATGTCTCTAAGGTTTTAGCTTGCTGCATTGGTTCCATCAAGCCTATGAACTCATAATGATTCTTCCTGTGCATTTTGATCAGCCTTTCAAAGGCTTGATGAGTATTAACAGATCTGATATTCCAAATGAGGGCATCCATCAATGTTTGGATTGAGATAGAGACAATGCAGTCCTCCTTGTTTGTACTCCACCTGCAGGGAGAGTGGGGATTTCTTTCTGTTGTTTCCTTTTCCCTTTGGATGCTGATTTCACCTTGTCAATAATTCTGGGTGAGATGTCCCCTTGCCTTGCTATGTTCTGAAAATTCTGGGTGGTAGACTCCTCATCCATATCAACTCCAGACCTATGCATATTTTCTTCTGCATCTTCAATCTCCTGATTTCCAGTTGACACCATACCTGTTTGCTGTTGGGGATTACTCAATATGTTATGTTCCTCACCTCTCTTCAGAATTTGCACTTGAGGCTGGGCCAGATTGACTATATTTTTCAGGTTTGAACCTGTGTTTTTTGACATATCTGAAGGCTGAATGGGCTGTTCACTCTGCCTCTCCTCTGCCTTTTTGTTTGGACTTATGCCTCCATCAGTTCCACCTGGATCCACAGCATCTATTCCTGTTCCTTCTGAGGCCTGATTCTTCTCTTCTCCCTGAGTTCCACCTTTTTCCTGTGCATTGACATTTACAAATTGATCAATGGACTGTTCAGTAGCCTGTGTTGTATTCTCCTCTGCATTGTTATCCCTTATGACCATTGCATCTCCATTTACACTTTGCTCCTCATCATCCTTCCCCTTTTGGATTGGTTCTTCATCGATTGTTGCCCCAACTGGTACTACATCTTCATCTGAATCATCTTCTCTTTGATCCTGCCATAATTTGCTTCCTCTCCATTGCAATCTATCAGCTACATTGGAAACAAAATTATCATTTGCGTGAATTTCTGGAGTATTAGCTAATTCCCTCTCCACCATAGTATCCTGTGAAGGAATTTCCTGACATGATTTGTTGACATCCACATTCCCTACAAAAGTTCTTTGCACCCAACCTGCAGTAGATTCTTTAACTTGTTGTTCATAAGCTATGTGCTCCTTGCTCTTTGCCACCTGTCCTATTTTTTCTTTGGCCTTCCCTGCTGGAGAGGAACCAGCTGATGGCTGCACCATAAGGTCATGTTTTCCCCTTCTCATCCCCTTATCCTTGCCTGGGGACATTGGCTTAAATGGAGGTGCAGTAGGATTCAAGTTCCCAGTTCCCTTTGTACTGAGCACAGTGTTTTGCTCAGGTTGATTCTCTATGATTGCCAACTGCTTATTGGCATTGTCTTCACTGTCTTCCATCTCCAATACAGCAAACTTGTTGCTTGTACCAGCTGGAACCATTTCCTTGCCTGTAACACCTTGATCATCCTTCTTCTTTGTACCAGATGTATCAATGTGTTGTCCAGTTTTGACCACAGCTTCCTTCACCTTCTCTTTTCCCAGATTTCTTCTATCTCGAACCTCTTTCCATTGTCCCTGAGTATTACCTACAACTTTCCCGGTTGAAAGCTTTGTTATGCGACCAGTATTTTTATCTCTTTGTACACCATCTTCCTCAGCAGCTAGATCTTCATCAGCATGTTCTTCCTCTCTTTGCACCATGAGCTCTGGGTGCAACCTCCAGCATTCAACCATGTCATGACCTTGAAGTTTACACTCCCTACAATATTTAGGAAGATAATCATACTTGATAGTCACCCATTCAGTCCTCATATCTCCAGTATCTTCATCCACAATATCCATTCTGACTTTCTTTGGGTGATCAGCTAACAGATCAATTAATACCTTCACACGCGCACAGCTAGGCCTTGTCTTGTTGATAGTTGCTTGATCAAGATGTTGTGGGATTCCAACAGCTGAAGCCAATGAAAATAAACACTCCTTAACATAAAAAGTAGGCAACAGATTAGGGAAGGAAATCCACGCCATAACCTTTGGTGTTTCTTCTTCAACCTTGAACTTAGTATCATAAATCAATGTCCGCAATTGAAAATCCTCGCCATACTTGTTCTTGACATGATGAACTGCTTTGGAAGCAAAATTAACATAATCTTGCCACAGTGAGAACCTGATCAAAATATGCCTTTCCCTGAAGAATCCAATCATACACTCTCCTTTAATTCCACATTGAATTGGCATCAAGCGACGTAATTCTGCCAATTCCGGCCAACCATATGAAAATTTGCAAATGACAGCATACTGTAATCCTTTGATTATGTTCATCCGCTTAACCTCAGCCTCCGTAAAGCACACGAGAGGCTGTCCTTGAAAGAAACTGGCACGCCTGGCAACAATTGGCTCGACATCAGGGGCATGCAAGGGATTTCTAGTTGCGTTAGGATTCAAGGCAGCTGCGTAATTCATGGGTTTTGAAGCATCGTTGTTGATAATTGAAGGCTGGGGATTGGAATTTGTTGCCGTTGGAGGCTGGGCGGGGGTCGGGGGGGCTGACCAGCC